TATGATTATGTGAGAAGTGTGTGTTTGAATAACAATAATTGGACAATGCCCACTGAGGTAGAGTAAATTGCCCTTTGCTATCCCAGTGTAGCCTTTGTTTAACTCATTGTGTAGACAGGGGGTACATTTTATGGGGTAAACCACATCTATACAGTATACTTTTATATTCACTTGTATGGGTTTGTAGTATTTACCTATGTTCTGCGTATATATTTATATGCCATACAGGTTATACCTCTGAGACTTAACATTATAGCTCTTTCTAATTTATATAGTCATTACATTACCTCCGGTATCAATAACAGTTCCTCCTTTTACAACAGCAACATTTACTTGTGAAGGAACTGGAGACATATTGAATTGGATAGTAGGAAGTGCTGAACTAACTGACTCCATTAAACAACAAAGAGAAATATCAGTCAATACTACCACTGTTAATAATACTAACTTCTCATCAGTACTGACTGTTAATGCACTACCTATTAATGATAGACTGGGAGTGGGTTGTGAAACTATTACTTTCAATCCTTTTAATCGTGTTATATCAAACAGTGAACTAACTATCAGAGGTTTGTTATGTCATTAATATAGTTTGTGTTCTTATAGTGTAATGTTTACTAGGTATATCACCAGTTAAAGATGTTCGACATAATTTCACTTCATATAATTTATTACTAGTAACATGGTCGCCTCCTGTTTATTACTCTAAAGGTGTTGATACTGGATCAACTTTAAGCTATCAAGTATTAGTTATTGATGAAGATGGAGATGCAATAGTGAATACAACTACACCTGATACGTATATTGAAGTTGTTAATGTCACTGAATGTGATACATTTAATACCAGTGTAATAGCAATACTGGATCAATATACATCAAGTCATACTGTCAGTAATAATGGAAGTGAGTACATAAGAAAATAGAAATAGATGTCAGTATTATTGTTTTAGATTATTCAATTACTGAATATGACACACAACTGTTGCTACCTTCCATTTCTTTTGAAGTAATTATTTTATTTATTTTCATTAATTTTATACTTAATATACAGCTTGGTTGTTCTCCATCAAGATGCCTTGTTTCACTAATGGATGGGAATACTGAAGTTACTGATATCATTGATGAAACTGATCATATGATTGGATTCAAGTTATCACCTTTCAGACATTATGAACTAACTGCTGTAGTTAAGAACCTTAGAGGCAAGACCAAAGCAACTTACAACACTTCAATATGTAAGAAAGATTTTTGATTTTAAATGACTCTGTTATAACATTTTTGTTAATAGCTACATTTCATGCTCAAAATATTTCCATCATCTCTTCATATGCCAATGGATCAGTTAGTGTACAGTGTGTGTTTGTATCAGGATCAACTGCTGATGGATGTCATGTGATATTTACTGATACTAGTAATGGAACAGTTTTTAACGTGTCACTACCACTGGCCCAACAGCCTACACTGGTAACACTACCAGCTGGAAATTACACAGTGACAGCTTATGACATCATTAACGGATCATTATATGGGCCTGCTGTGTATCCTACACCAGTGGAAATTATCAAAATTATGCATTCTACTTCTAGTAGTACACATGAAAGTAAATAATTATTTATTTATGATAATAATAATTATTATTCATCATTATTATAGGTATCTCTTCTACTGCCAGTAGTGAGGTTATTCCTATTCCTACAAGTTCTACAACAATTTCTACACTTGGAACTGAAACCACCTCATCAGCAAGTATGAACACACATACATACTCATACATAATGGTGTTTATTATAATAGGTGAAACTAATAATGATACCAATAATGTTGTACCTATTGTGGCTGGTACAGTCAGTAGTATTGTACTAGTGATGTTGATCATATTAGCAGTATGTGCTAGTATCACTGGTTATAAGAGGAAAAGGATGAATGGAGTATTGATGCGTTTTGGTAAATCTTTAATATAATTAAAAATTTTCATAGTGCTACTTTAGACATTGTTGCTATTCAACAACCACAAGCTGAGACCAATCCTTATCAAGCTATTCATGAGTTAATAAATGAAGTTCCTAATAACATATCACAAGTAATAGTGACTAGTAATAGACCAATAGATGAGGAGAATCCCTACCATGTTACTATGAGTGAGGTAATCTAATTATTAATTTAATGATAGATTGTATTCAATGCACTCACTTGTCTACAAACATGGTCATTTTTTTGCTGACATTACTCCTTCCATTGTCTAGTTTCTTACTGTCAATCATCCCATTCCAAGTGTTATAGTATCGTGACTGTTTTGATAATAGTAATAACAATGTATTTCATATTGATAGCGTGTAGTAACAATAGCTCATAGTGACTGTGAATGTGTAGTGTATATAGTAATAGTTTAGGTAGTAAGTATGTATAGTAATAGTGTCAAGAGTTACTTGTTTACTGTTTACTTAAGTTACTCATGGCTGGCAGTCAACGTAGCGTATAGTGAATAGTTGCTTGTCTTGTTATGTAGTATATACATTGCTTGTTTTGCTTTTATCAGTAGAAAAACATTATTTACTCCTAAAATAAACAAAAGATTATGAATACTGTAAGATTTCATTTGAAAGATTAAAATTTAAAATTGTTTTGAATTCCACTCACTCACTCATAACTTATTGTCTCCTAATATGTTTCTTCAATTGCTGACATTACTCTTTCCATTATCTAGTTTCTTCCTGACAATCATCACACCATTCCTTCACATGCTATGGTAAGTGTTAGTTAGTATCATATGACTATTTTGATAATACATCTAATACTGTTGTAATAATAGTGTAACCATGAATTTGGTTTATTGTTTATGCTATAGATGTGGATATACACTCGAATATTAATTGATTAGGTGCCTCGGCTTCTAATCAACTAACATCCTCATGTATATCCACATCTATAACGTAAACAATAAAGCAAATTTACTACTATATACACAATACTACAAACAATACACAATATCCCTGCTGTGGTCTCTACTATTGGCTGTGCCTTTGATACACCCACACACTATAGTACAACAGTCAATATTATACAAAGTATTATACCATGTTATTTACTAAAGTCCATTTGCATTTACCTGAGCCCAGGGAGTGATTACAGACCCCACCCAATAATTAACACAATGCAATGTAATATTATGACAAGTATGGCTGTACTTTCAGCATGGGTTATACAACCAACTTGAAGCTAAAGAGCTACAGCTACCTCTTAAGTACCACAATAGATGTGGCAAAAGGAGAGGAATGCACTGGTGTGTTTATTTTTACAATAAAATTTGTAAGTCAAAAGTTATAGCAAGAAAATGAGGGCTAAGGTGAACACAAATGGACTTTAGTGCATTGAAATGTTCTGGTTATACAGTCAAACCTGTCTATTCTGACCCAATAATAATACCCTAGCTCCTGATTATGAACCTATCCTTATTTCAGAGGTTCATTAATACATATTACTATTGTATTGGGACTGATACTACCCCTCCTCATTATAGAGGTGTCCTTATTTTAGAGTGTCCACAATAGGAGGAGGTTATACTGTAGTTATTGATCAACAGTTCAGCATAATAAGTTAATCATGTACAAATTTTCCTATCTGTATATATAGTGTTATTGATATTGTATTATTAATGTTATTCAGGGATTGATGACACAAGAGCCACGCCCATCCCTTACATCAATGACCACACAAGAAACAACTCTTGAGGACAGCATATTATCAACAACATCAAATAATATTCATGATAGTGCCTACACTACTGTTAATTTCAGTAATGGCATTGTTAGTATGACTGCTACTAAAACTGCTACTGTTGCTCCTACTTATGCTGTTATTGCTAAAAGGACTGATACTACTGTTCCACCTGCTGTTGATCAACATGTTGAATATGATACTGTTACTGGACATATTGATAAGGTATTAACATTATATAATGTTTAATAATTTTATATTTATCTTTTAGAGAGGAGGAGGTGTCACTGTTTATCCACCTGATGACATGTTAGTTGATAGAGTTATTCTTTGTCTCACTCTCTCGTTTTTAATATAATTATTTATATTTTATAGTTCTGCCATTCCTCCTCCTCCTTCCTATGCTGCTACCATTGCTCAAGAACATGGCACTACCGTGAGCAATTCTCAGTTTATTATAGTTCCAGTACAGGTTACTGATGATGCTGCAGTAGTTCACGGACAATATGGTAATGAATAATTTGAATAATTTAACATCAATTGATACTTTTAACAGAAAAATATCCACCAACATATACTGGAGATGAGTATGGCAGTAAGACTCCAGTACAAGATCAAACTAACTCTACTGATGGTAAATATTAACCTTAATGTAAAATGAAATAATAAAATATTATCTTTTTTGTAGGTGAAGTTGTACCGTCAAAAGCACCATTAGCCACTTTGGACTCAAATTTTGCTAATGATCGTAAAGAAGGACCTACTATTGATGAGCCTCCAATGAATGGGGAAGAAATCTTACCAATTCAATTTCGGGAAAATGTCTTTTGAAATGTCTCTTCAAGTTAATAGCTTATTTGAAGAAGCTGAAATAGTTAATGATCATGTTTTTGATCATATCAGTGATGAGATGGTTGGAGTTAAGCCACGTCCAGTGGTATTGAATAGTAGGAAGAAGACTGGAACATTTGTAACAGGACTTGCTTCAAAGGTTGAATTGGTATGACATTTAATAATAATAATATCCATTACCAGCTGCATTATTTATCATTAACAGACTACTGCATGTCATGAAGTTCAAGCAAGTAAAAAATGAGTACCAGACACAAAAGGTTTTTGAATCACATGGT